GAGGAATAATAATACAATGTTGCATTTGTGTTAGCGCTCTAAATATACATTCATACCATTATGTAAATACACACGTGTATATATGTATATATTTATAATGTATATATATACATTATGAAATCATATATTCCATTATACATTATAAAACATATTCCATGAAATCATTTTTTAACAACTATTTATTTTTCAAATTCGAATTAATGAAATATTTACAAACTCATATCCTAAATGATAAGAATACGACGAAATAAATAGAATATATATATATAAACATATAATTATATCTAAGGGAAAAACTTAAAGTAAAATAGAAAGATATAGATATCAAGATAAATATATGATATAAAAAAATACGATAGTTTTGATTTTTAATGCGAATAAATAAACCCTAACCAATCTTTTTTTTTAACAATTAATTGATATTTTTAGGGCTCAGTGACTAATTTCAAATATAACGAAAAGATGCAATAATTTATGTAACATGTAACAATATACTTAAAATTACATATTTGTTTATTTTAGGATCAATATTTTTTTCATTTCAAATAGACGCTCGTTCAAAAATAACCTAATAAGTTTGATTCAATTTACAAAAATAAATTAAGCTTAAATTACAGACACAGGTGGAAATCTGTTTTAATATTTTCGAAGGATTCTAATCTGAATAGAAAGATGTCAAACCTGCGGTCGGCTGCGATGAAAAGGTCTGGATCAACAAAATATTTGTTTCTATTTATTTTAATATGTTTTCAAAATAATATTGTGGACTTGAAAATACGAATAAGTAATTTATTTTTTTACGCAGTGTATCGTTTGGAATGGTTGTTCATGATTATAAAAATAAATCGTACCTAACATACAAAATATGAGCGAAAATAATAATGATGTCGAACAATTTTCGTTGTAATTCAAACATTATTCTATGGTCGGATTTGGAAGACGACAACGCTAGAAATCAATAGTTTGCCGATCTAATTAGTGAAATATCTTAGTCAACTAATCTATTTTTGATTTAAGAAAATAAATTTTTTTTTTTTTAAACTTTCAAAAAAATAGTTTTTTTTTCACCTTTCAACAACTGTGCGAGGTTGCGTTAAGATACAATTTTGAATAATTGTCCATTATAGAGAGGATGAAATACTGAAAATTTCTCCCGCTTACAGTACCGATTTTTAGTTTATAAGATATTTTAATCCATATGCAAATACACTTCACTTAGTCTACTCCAACCTACTTTACCCGAGCGGACTTTACACATTGGTCAATCTAATCCTCTCTCCACAAATAAGTGCAGAACACTCCTAAAGAAGTTTTTACTTTAAAAAAAAATCAATTTTAAAAATTATCCAAAAAATATATAAATAAAATAAATAAATATAAATAATTTAAAAATGTATGATCGAAAAAAAAACAATATAGTAATTGCAAAACAATTGATACACAACAAAAGCAAATTAAATTTATGTAAAAATAAAATAATACCATCATGTTATACATTCACCATCTATTTACAATACATAGATTTTAAAATATTCACTTAAAGTGTTATACTCTATATATTCTCAAGACCGTCATATCAAGGTTTTATACGTTCGGTATGTATGTTCCTATTTAATATTATTCAATAAACCTATCTAACCTGATTCAAGGCATTCTAGTTCCAATAACTTTTTTTCGTTCCATACCTAACGGTTTATGTTCCCAGGTACAGAAAAAGTTTAACATTTTTGTGAGTAAATACGCATCAGAATTGTGGCGAATTTGCTCCTCAGATCTGTTAGTCCGGTCTTTTTTATTCCAACTAGATATTAATTATATTAGATTGAAGGCGTTATCGTTAATTACATTTCACCATGTTAATAGTGATAACTGACTCTGATGATTGTGGCAATGTCTTTCTCTGACTCTTTACTCGTTTGTTTCCTGTGAGCACTCATCTTCCTATCCTTCCTGCCTTCTGGTCTAGCTGGCCTGAAAGGAGTTCAATGTTCCATACCGTTGTATTATGTGCTGGTAACGTATTGTTGCCAGGGCCCAGCTCTGACTTTCCCTCACATACCCGCTAAAGCGTAACAGCGTGATTAAACAGTTACGGACCGTGTTGTGGGGAACTGACTCACAAAAATAGTTTTGAATGATTGTGTGTGGAATAATGATGGAGTTGGAAAACAATGAGTTACTGTATAATTTGAAATTTGGCCAAACTAATCTACAATTTGGACCACAACGAAACAGTTAGTTTAACATCTCACTTCCGTTCGCATTCTTTCCACATTCGCACCGCAATAGATGATAATACTTATTGTTAGTTAGAGTAATGATATTTACTTTTAATAGATCATGTAAGTATACTGGAAAAGAGTTACTGCGTAAATAGAAACGGCAATTGCCGAGTAAGCAACTAATTGCTCTCGAGAATATCTTGAAATTAAAACTTAGGTTTTCTTTATATCCGAGAATTTCTTTTTTCGATAATCTTCTCTTTCAAATCTGAACCTCGCTTTTCGGTCTTGTGTTGAATCTCTCATGATTACAAACAAATTCTTTTTTTACTTTTTGTTACATATATATGAAATATACAGTAATGGAAAGTATTGCGTTCGTGAAAATTTCGATTCTGAGTTTTCAACAGAAATTTTATTTTGAGGTTCCCTGATTCCAAATGACCAAGTTTAGCAAAATGGTCTGTGACTATGTGAACATTTTAACTCAAAAACGGAAAATCGCCCGAATCTGAAATAATCGATCCGAGGTGGTATTTACATATATCTGGGATGTTACAGAAACGTTTTCACTAAAATCGGCACTTTGTTTAATTAATTTTACAAATGTTTACGATTTTCTTGAAAAAGGTTATAAGGATTTTTATTAAACTCGTTATATCAGTGTACGATAAAATGGTTTTTAGTATCATTTAAGCATTATCGTCATTGATATAGTCTGACAGAGCCTAAATGAAATTTCAAAATGGCTTCCTCTAAAGTATCTTTAAAGTGGTTTATTAGAAATAAATAACAACCTCTACTGGTTAATTTTTAATAATAATGGTTGAATATAAATTATAAATGAATTCGATAATGAACAAAATTAGACTCATTTTTATTAATGTTACTAATTATTATTATTTAATTATATAAATTTTGATTTTTTGATGTTGTTTTCAGGCTAATGATTTTATTCAATTAATAAATAATTTATTATTTTTTATTGTTGAAGTTTAACCGATCCTTAGAATGAGTTTCTATAAATGTATTTTCATATGTTTTTAATTTTGAACTTGATTCATTTCTTCCCTAATTGATCCACTTGGAAAAGTTTTTTTTTAAAAATAACAAGAGATATCGCTCCTTGTCTTATATTGCTTCCTCACTACCGAAGGTAGGGAAGCATTGTGTTCGTGCGGGAGGTAAAAAAAAAATTGTGTGCTCAGAATCGAATTTCCACTCGCGTTTTACGTTTCAGACATCAAGGATCAAATTTGGTTCGGTATCTGTCTGTCTGTCTGTAGTCAAATCGATGTTACGGGCATATCACCTAATAACGTTCATCCGATTTTCATGAAATGTTTAGGGATTATGCGAATTGGTGTCTAGATAGTCCCATATCAATTTTATCAAATTCCATCCAGCACTTCCACTTACGCACGCGCAAACGTATTTTTTTAGATGTGTCAATATTTCAGAAAGGGCTCGTTCCATTTGGCTTAAAGTTGGGTAAAAGGAAGATATTGAAGAAAAAATAATGTAGTGTCAACTTTATTGATTTCTGTCCACTATCTTCTCTTATATATGCGCTACTTTATTTACTATACTGCGCACGTTGCTATAGACTGTAGCGCCTAAACGAATGTACCGATTTCAATGAAACTTCGCTAAAGTCATTTTCTCGACGCCCTTTAAATATATCTATATGACATAATTCAACGAAAAGAAACTGTAAAAAAAGTTACGAGGGATGGTAAAATTAAATTCCGAATAACTCAAAAAGTATACACTTTTTTGTTGATATTGTATATGGTTTTTTAAAAGTTTGCGGAATTTCCTAAAAAAACATTCGTTAAAATCGGACAATTAGGAACAACGATATGGTCTCTAGTTTTTTTTTTAGATGTTCTGCTGCAAATGTTTATAAAATAATATAATAAAAATATATATATATATTTTTTTTTCGTTTGGCGCTACAGACCACGAAGATCTTTGGCCGCGAGATTGTGGTTTCCTTACAGATTTATGTTGCTTGCGGGATCTCAGATAGGCTGCTATCTTTTGTTTTGCTTTTTAAATTTTGAATGTGTTACTGAAGTAATGCTATTTTTTTTTAGCATATAAATGATTAAAAAAAAAGTTTAGTCCAATAATTGGAATCATCTTTTATTTATTTTTCTTTATAACTAGAAAGGTAATGTTACTTTAGATACATAATTGTTTGGAAATAATGAACCATTGTGAAATAATTAGCAGCCTTTTTTTTTTAAAATTAGTTATCGTTATATGTATATGAAAAAAAAATCTTTCGGACTGAAGCCTCCTCCCTAAATTAAATCTGGATCCGCTACTACTATTAGTGCAAAAAGGTAGTATGTAAAAATTTTCAACTTTTATTCTATTTGTATTAAAGCTGACATTTTGTAGTCTGCTACTATGGAAAGAATAAAGCATAAAGAATTAATGAGTTTTTATGCACTCTTGTAAAACAATAAATTTTTACATAAGACCTTTTGTACTAACAGTATTGAAATTCATGTTCAGTATGCATTTTTATTTTTTTATTAAGATAATCAAATATGGAATCTTAAAATACGGCACTCTTTTGTTGAATGTTGAAGCGTAACTGTATTTCCGAATCGGCTTCTCCCAGAGATTTTATTCTCATACGAAAAATTGTATACCTTGTAATATAGAATGAAAACGGTAAGGAAGCTATACTGGCCTCACTTGGCAGACGTTTTTAATATTGGATCTAGAAACACCCTTCCAAACTAAACAATCTTAAAAATTACATTAGATGATGACATTGTTGTAAATAAACAGGCTGCCTGATGCCCCCTTTCCCTCGGTTTTCTCTCTAGTGTGTGGAGAAACGAGATGGGCTTTCTTGGCCTCTTCTCTAAAACACTCGAGTCTATAACCTGTTTCCTTGATTTCTTGGTGTACTAGGATCTTCCTTGTCTAATTTAAATTCGGAAATCAAATTGATTAACTATCTTCTAAAAAAAAACAGATTGTCGAGTAATCTCAGAGTACTGTCTCATAGTTTAAGTATTTATGTATGAATGTAAGCATAGAGCCATAACACTAAATGCCTTTGATAGTGGCATATTGTATTATTGTATGTATTATTCAAATAAAAATCTATCCACTTATAAAAATAAAACTGACCTCAGAAAATAATCATAGTCATTAGGCGATGGGTCTAGATTTGATATTATTCAAGCTATACCTTAATCATCGAATAATTCTGAAATCATTTTATTTTTTTGTTGGGTTATGTCCAGAGGTGAATTTAAAAGGGAAAAGGCTTTCGGGCAGAAGTGAAAAAAAATGATATAATATAACCATGCCTTATGAAAAAAATTATCTCTAAAAGTATTATTGTTCGTATAATTACATTTTATAGGACTTCAAGAATCACTTAAACACCATTTCATATAGGTAGTAAGTTTATTTATTTTTCTTCCAAAGTAATTATCGTTATATGTATATATACCTAGTCATAAATATTGCTACAAGGAAATATATACAGATTTCAATAGAAAAATTATTTTTTTTTTTTAAAACGTAATTAGAAAATAAAATATATATATGTAGAGAGTAAAACAAAAAAGAAATTACTCAAAATGCCCCCTTTTGCCTTGACCCAGGCATTTAATCTCCGTGGCCAGTCACTAATAGCAGCACACAGCACTTCTTGAGGAAAGCGCTTAACTGCTCGGGCCAAAGATTGTTTGAGGCTTTCCAAGTTAGGGCTCTGTGGCATGCCATCCTCTCCAGTTCGGACCAGAGCCGATAATCTAGTGGGTTGAGATCAGGGCTTCCTAAGGGCCAATCCGAGACAGAGATGAACCCTGGAATGTTCTTTTGCAGCTACTGCTGAGTTGACCTGACCTTGTAAGCTGGAGCGGAATCCTGCTGGAAAACCCAATGACTTCCAGCAAACAGAGTATCATTTAGAGGCTAGCCAACAGGTTCCAAAATATCGTCCTGATAGTTTTTAGCGGCTGTTTTAACTCCTTTTTCACAAAAATAGAGCTTTGTGCTGCCATTAAAGCAAACTCCCCACCAAACCATCACTGATGAAGGGAGTTGACCCCTTTCCACTCTTCCAATGACTTCCTGGGCTTCTTTAGAGCTGTGTGCGTACACACGATCATTTTTCTTCAATTGTAAAAATTTTCTCATCTCTAAACAAAATCTTTCGATGAAGATTATTGGTGTAGCGGCCAAGAAGCACTTTGCATCTATTCACTCTAATTTTTTTAGGCCATTTGTTCTGTCATTCTACGAAATCCATCCATCCTAAGGTCACTTTTTATTATGATTTGTGGGGATTTGGGTGAGTTGGGGGATCGAATGGGATTTCTTTTCATTCAAGTAGCCTCTGCTATCATTGCATTTGCCTCTGCTATCACAGTGCGGAGACGGTCTGTTGTCTGTCACATACAGATAGGGTCTCATTATATCTATTTATAGTGCGGTACACGAACATACAGCTGATACCCAAAGGTTTCAAAGTGTTGAAAATCTCTGGCCTACATTTTCCACCTTTGTTAAAGGTGCGATCGCAGCTATTCGGTTTTCTTTATCACCCCACTCCATGTTAACTGAGCGAAAGAAAAATACAAACTAATTGGGATTATTATCCTGACATGTAAAGAAAATAACCTGATAGAGGTAAGGATTATCTAAATAATAGCCAAGGATGTAAACAAAGTTCAACTTTTGTAGCAGTATTTAAGGCAGAACTAGGTATATACACATATATATATATATATATATATATATATATATATATATATATATATATATATATATATATATACATATACATACATACATAGAGAGAGAGAGAGAGAGAGAGAGAGAGAGAGAGAGAGAGAGAGATAAAAGCTTTAGGGCTGAAGCCTCCTCCCAAAATTAAATCCTGGATCTGCTAGTGGTTATGTTACTTGGGAGTTTAAAAAACCTATATGTTTTAACAAGTTAGCAAACCTTCGGTGGTAAAGTGCGATAACTGGTTAACTTTCACCGAGAACCAAATGGTCATGTTGAACCGCAAATGTTACCCAATTTAAAGCGTTCCTGGCCAGGGGAATACCAGAGAGCTGCGCCATTATACGAAAGTGAGAAACCAGTCCCATTTCTCCATCCACTAAACCGTTTATCATCCATAAATAACCTGTTATGGGACTATCATTTGCCCCCTAGCTTCGGAAAAGCCATAGCCAAGCAGCGATTAAGGAGTTTCTACTCCATACTTATTATAATGTAATAACTACAATATTAAATTCAGAATTCAGTGAAATTATTTATTGATACCTTTCTAAGTAGAAAGTATCTGCTTCAAATAGAGGTAAAATGTTTTTTGAGAGTTTGTATTTGATGAAAATTCCTATGTTTATCAGGAATGCACTAATTCCTTGGTTTAATAAAGTTGTTACTGAATTTTTTGGCTAAATCGAGATTATTGATGCTTCTGATTCTCGCTTTTCTAATGCACACCACAAAACTAAATACATCTGTAGAAATGGCCTAATGTGACGAAGTTCTAACCGAAGGAAATTGTTTACTTTATGTAGTTTGACAAATAACGCTCTGGTGGTCCAACCATACGGTACTTTTTTCATCTACCTATATTTCTTGATACAAGCACCCTCTAAATGCTCAGGAATTTAGGTCAAGTGCTCTTGTGCTGAAACTGAAATCTAGGAACTGAGTATTTAAAAAAAATGAATGTTGTTAATTTTGAACACTCCAATTACAACTCTGTAAATTTTTTGTATTTTAAAATATCCCCTCTCACGAACTTCCTTACCATTTTGAATGAATGTCTAATACAAAAATCATTTGTTATATATTTGCTGTTATTGCTTAGATTTGGAGTTTGTTTTTATTTGAAATAATTTGTATGTAATGTGAGATTTTGGAAAAAGATGTGTATGTTGGGTAACAAAATTAAAAATCATGGTGAACATTCGTAAGGAAGGCATTCCAGGTATTGGAGCTAGTTTTAGGTCTGTTGGAAGGAATATAGAGGTCAACAATGCGGAGATCGTGGGGTGATTAAAGATTTTAAGTGATTGAGGCTTTAGATCATAGGTGGAGTACTTTTTATCGTTAGAAAACGCATTAAGGTAATGTCATTATGATGAAGGCCGTATTAATTTTCTATCTGTTACTGCTACAATTTTTAAAAAATAAATATACACCCATATACATATATAAAACGTATATACATATAAACCTGGGCAGAATTTATTTGAAAAATATTCCCGGAATAAATCGTGAAATAAACCTTAATAGTTATTTCATAAATGATTATTTCTGGAATAAATTATTTCAGGAATAACGATATAATTATTTCTGAAATGATTATTTCAGAAACAATGTTCTGGAATAATCATTCATAAAGCTACAAAAAGGGCTTAAGATAACCAAAATAAAAACAGTATTGTTCACTTAAAATTTACTTTTCGCTAACGCCCTCGTTAATCACTCCCTCTCCACCCATACTAGAGATTACTTTTATGATTTAAATACTTCTATTAGAAAAAAGCCTATATGGGACCTGACCACACCTAACCACCCAGTAATCCATATTATTCTCTATTATTATGTTTGGGAGGAGGGGCGCTTTTTATGAAAATACTGTCAAATTTGCGATTGCGCTCGTCCTCTCCCTCCCCACACATCGCTTTTTTGTTATTTTTCGGATTTTATCGATATAAGGGTTGACTATTATGTATTCGGGCTAGCTTATTATAAAAATACTGTCGAATTTGTGATGCACCACCCCCCTCGCAACAACTTTTTGTAACTTTTCCGATTTAATCGATATCAGGGTTGAATATTATGTATTCGGGTTAGCTTATCATAAAAATGCTGTCGAATTTTCGATTGCACCTCCCCCTCCTTCCCCCCCCAGCATCAATTTTTTGTAACTTTTCCGATTTAATCGATATCAGGATCGATTATTATGTTTTCGGGGTAGCTTATTATATAAATACGGTCGAATTTGACATTGCCCCAGAATATTGTTTATATTTCTATCTATCTATCTATATTCAACTTATTTCTAGTAATTTTCGAACTTTCGTGACCTAAAGAATGAAATAGTTAATTCTAGTGTTAATAGTTAACTGTATATTAAAGAAGACTGGGTAAAAACTGACGTGGGCCTCATTCGACCTCTGAGACCGCCGCTAGGTCACGGAGGGCATGTGCGGTCTCTTGGCCGCAGGTTCCTCACCTGTGCTTTAGATGTAGTAAGCGTCCTGGGTGTTGATGGTCTGGTTTAGGTTTGGTCCAAGAAAACATTGTATTGTGGGTAGCGGAAAAAAAACATTTTAACTCGTTTTAAAGGTGGTACACATGAGAACGCCTTCAGTACTGATGACAAAGCTTAAAAATTAGTTCAACGAGATTTTAAAAGCAGGAAATGTGAAAATATAACAGGAAATAAAATATGTTTACTTATATTTATATGAAGCAGTATGAATTTGCGTATTGGAACCCTGCTTAGTTATGCAATATATAAAATTAACCAAAAGCTGCACGAGGCTAGCTGACGAAGATAAGAGCGAGGACATTGCTTGTTAGCTACCATTTGCTAGAGATCTGTTCACTATCATCGTGATCTTTACACTTTCTTGCACCCATTCCAAGGGCGCGCGACTGTACATCACGGCACAATGTCAACGCGAGCGGGATATCTGAAAATGAAAGCCATTAGCAAAAGGAGCATTTGATCCTTATCTAAGGTACCTCAATGTTCTGAAGAAAGTTGTTGGAAAACTTACCCCTTTTCTTCTCATTCGTATCCCATAACTATCCATTTTATACATTTCAAGGCTGTTTAATATATATTATTAACGAAATTCAGCATACCAAATTAATTAGTGTCATAATTTCTATCATCCTAATTGAGTGTCAATTAGTGATGTATTGCTCAGAAAAAAGGAAATCCAGTTGTTGCTAGAAACGAAAAGAGTAAAAAAAAAAACTGGATAAATGGTACCTCATATCCGTAATGGTTCAACTTCATAATCTTAATAAAGATTTATGACTTGGAAAGAGAAATCCGATTTCCGACAAGGTTCGTGTGAAAGTTTTTATGATTTATCAGTCTGTTTTCTATTGAAGGGCACGGCTACCAAAAAAAATTGTATAGTTAAAACGTCTATGGACAAATCTTGTATTCGGTTCTTCCTTTTTGGGGGGAGGTGAGTAATAATTTCATGTTTTACATCCTCATATTTATTTTCCTATTCAAGTCATGCCCTTGTTTGTGCTATTTTAATCATTATTTTAGTATTTTATTTTTAATATTCATTTATTTTAGCATTTGTATTTTTTTAAATTTTATTTATCGTATTACATACTTTTATATTTATAATATTATACAATATCAAGCTATTGCCTAAGACGTAATAGGTTGGGAATAATCGCGCTACCTTCAACAATAAAAGAAAGGGAGATAATTTCACTCCCTTCCTCCTCCCCCATCCACTAATTCGACGTAGAAAAATCTGGTGCGGAGCACGCATCACACATCTTTCACTTACCACCCTCTTAACAGAAATAAGTATTTACAGACTAAGGGGAATTGAAAGTAAAAATTAAAAACGCTGTATTAATTCATATTCCATTGTGGATAATTTTATTTGTTTAAGTACCCTTATTTATACGAATTTTGATATTTATATCGCTGCAATCTATACAACTAATTATTAAATAACACCAACGAAAGCATTTAGAAAAACCGCATATGGATATAAACATAATATTATCGGAGTCCATATTATATTATGCTCATGTACTCTTCTAATCTTCGGGCCAACTCATGTGTACTCGGCCGCGCTCGTATCCCTTTGGTTCTTTTATTACAACTATTCTGTATTACAAACTCTTATTTCTCCTTTAGTTATTTATCAAATTCATTCATATTTTATATTTAATTATTTTTTATATTAGAGATCAATGTGAAATGGTTAATTGCTTAAAAAAAATATAAAAAAAGGGTACTTTAGAAGAAGATGATATTGAAAATTAGCCATTTAAGGCCTGTTAGAGATTATCAATGAGAATAAAACATAAATAATATTTAAAACAGCTTAATTTTACACTGATATAATGAATTTAATCAAAATCGTTGGAGCCGTTTTCGACAAAATAGTAAAAATGTGCGTCCATACTATAAAATGCCACTTCCAGTTAGCCGCTTTGAACGAAAAGGTGCTGTCACATCTTAGTCATATACGTTTCTTAAATACGTGATATCAATTTCGTTTTTTAATTAAAAATACGTTAAGACTTTTCGTTTTTTAGTAGACTGTTCACATACACACACTCACAACATTTTGTGGTACTTGGTTATTTGGACTCAGGAGACCTCAAAACGTGCATTTTCGTAGAAAACCCAGATTCGAAAATTTTCACGATATCAATACTGTCCCATACCATATATTTCGTTTATAGTTATATAGTTCGTTCGTATATAACCGTTAACCAATAATCTCCATTCACTTTTTTTTTTGCGCTAAAGCAGATCTTTGGCGGCGCGATGTGGTATTATTACAGACGTATATTACTTGTCGGTGCACTGATAGCCTGAAGGAAATCATCCAACCTCCTGGACCTTTGTCACCATGGAGCAGCGACATGGCACCCCACCCGAAGCTGCATTGCCGATCCCGTGGGACCAACCTGCCAGTATTCTTTTCACCGACTCACTCGCGCTCAAAGGCAGTGACAAATTGGCCCTGATCCATTGATATGGGTGGTATCTATTGGTTATTATGCTCGGAGTCAGCTGGCACACGAGGACCTATATTTCTTTCCTCGGAACAGGTCGTTCGTTCGTGGACAAACTATGGAGGACTACTCACATCCTGGAATATCATATCGCGATTCCCAATTAAATCATACGATGTTGGATGACAGTTTGGCATCGTGGTTATCTCGGCAGCGTGGTTCGGTGGGCGATCACCCAAGTACTTGGGTTCGATATTGCTTAGCTTTGATTAAACATTGCTATTGTTATTGTATTACCAAATAAATGCCATGGTCTCATAACTCATTTTATTGACTTGATCGAGGTGGAAACAAGAAAAAATCAGAAAGTAATATTTTTTTATTTAACCTATAAATATAATTTAGTTTGTAATCTGCCGTCTGGGGTTAAGTGCTTTCTTCTAGTTCCGGAACTATGTTTATTGGATGGATTGGACGACTTACTATTTTATTTTTGTTCTATGTTCATTCATCTGTAGGCCGATTGTCTCTGTTTTATTTATAAAGTCATAAGTGAACATCAACCGGTTGGTCAGAGTTGTGTGGTCAAGAAAAGATTATCTAGAAGTTGAAATGGATTTCAGCTATATTTCTTTTCGTTAAAGATAGCTTTCATCAGATTATAGATTCATATTACCTTCTCAAGAGGGAAATTAAACTGCATCAGCGAAAGTCCATCTCTCTGTCTCAAATCATTTCGAATTTCGAATGCTTCAGTTTGCTTCCGTAATTACTACAATATTCCTAGGGGCTCTTTTTTAAGAAATGGCAGATAAGGCTCGAGTTCCAAGTCTTCGGAATCATCCCTTTCTCCCAAATTTATCTTAGATTAGTTGTAATAATTTGACTCTTATATCTTTTTTCCCCGTCTTCTAACAGCTCTGGTGGTAAAGTGTTCATTAGAGTGGAAAGAAAAAGACCTTTTTTTCGGCAGACAACTTTCTTTTCTAATAGCAATCAAAAGTTCTCACTTTGTGTCAACAAAAAACTATTAATCCTGACTTGAATTGATTTTTTTTTTTAATAATCTATCTATTATTTGCTATACTTTCAAATTATTCTTTAAACAGAGTTTTTAAAATAATAATATCTAGAACTACTTAAAACATCTGATTAATAATAATAAAGATCTTACCAATGATTTAAGGATCTACGGGGGGAGGTGGGACTTTCGGGCTGAAGCCGCGCCCCAAAAAATGGCAAAATATAACCATGTCTTATGAACAAATATTAAAATATTATCTCTAAAAGTATTACTGTTCGTGTAATTACATTTAATAGGACTTCAAGAATCACTTATATACCATTCCATATAGTTTCTTTCTTTTTATTTCAAACTAATTATCGTTATATATATAACGAGACTGAAGCCTTCCACCAAAATTAAATCTTGGATCCATCAGTACATCTGGCAAGTGGGTTTTCTTCACTAAGTTCACTTGTGTATTTTTTTTAAGTCAATGGAGGCTTTGTGCTTTTTACATGTATCCCTTCCAATTAAAATGGAAAGTCTGCGTCTATGGTAGATATAGCATCAACGGTCAGGTATAGCATCAAGATACATCGAACAAACCATAGGCAATGCTCCCTCAACTCAGAGTAGCACATTCCATCAATTATGTACTATAATTTACATTTCACAGACTACTAGTAATATATTTCTGTTAGTAGATTTTATTTTTTATATTTTTAATTTCCTCAAAGAAGGATGACCTGGAGCCCACATATCAAAATGAAACGAAAGACTTTGAAAAAGCGACTGGAAATACTATACTCACTTTTTTCCAAATAAAAATTAAATATCAGACAAAAACTAAACACATAGATTTATTTGCTCAAAGCCATTTGGATACACGCCTCACAGATTTACGGTTCAGCAAAAAAAAAAAACTCAATTACAAAAACTACAATCTTTTCAATCTAAAATTTAAGACTAATAACTACAGCCCCCTGGTGCATCAACAACAAAACATTACATACGGACCTAAGACAACCAAGTATTGACCATCACACACATACTCTCTACTGCCGATTTCATCTAAAACTGCACGGACATCACAACGGACTTATCAACTACATGGCCACGGCTGGCATACTCTTCATGAGGAGACTGAAAAGGAGGTGGATGAGAGATCTCGTTTCCTGATTTAAGTATTGTAAACAGATCCGGGAAGAGGTGCTTTTGGGCACTATTCTCCATCATGGCTATCATGCTATTTTTTACGTAACGACAAATCTGCTAATTGTCACTACAATGACAGGTGCGGATGGAGATTTGATGATAAAAAAAAAATGTCTTAAGACCTTAAAAAGCTCCATATTAAGACTTCTGACTCTTTGTTTATTAGTGTTTCTAACTCAAAAGTTCTTCTTTCTAAACAATCGTTCATCTGAAATGGACCAAACACTTTCTTTCGCAAATATATTAGTTTAGAAGATTGTCATTGATGATTTTTCTGAAACAAAGGTACCCGCTAAGATGCGGGAGATGACGGAACACAGAGGGGTTTCCCTTTCGTCCTTGGGGACAGTACATCACTGATCTCATGGCCCGTGATTGTTTACGCTCTCCCTTCTTCTCTACGGTCATCCTCTTCACAGAGCATTTCTACGTCCACATTCACTTCCATACATCCTCTTTGCTCTAGGAACACTTTCCCCTTCCAATTTAGGAATGAAAAGTTCAACGAATGTTGTCTATCCAAAACAAATGAGCTATCCAGTAAAAGATCGTCATTTATTAATGTATAAACCTGTCTGTATAAAGTTTGTTTATTTGGGTTTAGTACAATGATGTACTCCAACCACTAACGGATCCAGGATTTCATTTTGGGGAGGAAAGCCTCAGCTCGAAAGATTTATTTAATGTATTTATTAGGATAATTACTTCGGAAGAAAGTAAGAAACGAAAGAAGAAAATGAAGCTCATTCCGAAAGGCCTCCCCTCTCCCCCATAGATCCACCTGTGACTCCAACGAAACCGCTAAGAACGGGTTATCCTTCAGGTCCAACTCCTCTTTAGTCAAAATGAGATGGTCGAGATTGATTCCGAATGGTTTCGCGAGTTTAGTTTTGTCCTTTATTTAAATAATCTGAAACTGTTTGCTCAACTATTTGTTTATTTCATTTATCAATGATATTCTATGCAATGTGAATTAAGAAAAAGTATTGCGATAGTGAAAAATTTCGAATCCAACTTTTCAATGAAATAGATGTTTTATGGTTCCCCGAGTCGAAATAACGAAGTTTCGCAAAATGAACTGAGTGTATGTGATTGTGAACTACCTAGCTCAAAAACGAAAAATCGTACCAAATTGAAATTCAGTATTTAAGATTTAAAATAGATAAGTAAAAGCAAAAAGTACTAGGTACTCGTATTGTTGTAGTACTTACTTAATGTTTTGGTCCGCCCAAACTCAATGTCTTCGAAATTAGCAAAGCTGGATTAACCTTTGAAAACATAATAAAATAAACAAACTTTTTGCAATCCCGAAAGTCGTTACTCGAAAATTCATTATTTGAGATTCTAACGACTATTTCTGAATTCTGAATAATTCATTTTTACTTATTACTCTTCTTTTAGTTTTACAAAGTTTTGTATTTTTATAATTTTTTATTAATATTGGAATATCATAACAACTCACAGTGGGACGAAAGACGGGTTGTTTTCGTGGATATGGGCCTAGAACTGGTAAATGATGTCGGATTAACTTGCTATTTAGTACACTCATGTTTTCAAGGCCAAGGAACACGAATATTGCGTTAAAATTTAAAAAAATTCCCCAAAACAAAAAAATTCCGGTTTCTTTGTTCAAACATGGAATTTTTTTAATTTGGCAATAAATTAATTTCGAAAATGATGGAAATATCTTAAAACGCATAATTTAGTTATAATTTATAATTTAGTTACTTATTTATAACTATTGTCTATGTAACTATATATAATCGTTATTTTAATTTTTTTAATTTTGAAAGCAATAAATCACAAAATATGATTATAATATATGTATATGTAATAACTTAAATGTATCATTTATAATTATAAATATTAATTTTATAACACTTCATATGAAATAATCTACATTTTATTTTATTATTATTACAAATAATTTTAAAAACCATCGATAACGATATTTGAACACCATCGATACTTCCTCAGATTCTCCGATGACAAAAAGTATGAAAAGTATGTAAATTTATAATTAATTTCCAATATTATATTAACAACAACTGATGTAGATCAAGTCATAAAGGTTCAACCAAATACTCTGATTTAATTTACCGTTTTAAAATTATAACGACATTTAAAAAGAATAAGGGTTAGAGATTGATAAAAATTATATTTTATTACTAACAGACAGTGATATTAGTGAAACAAGTAAATAAAAGTTGTTTTTTTCCTTTAGGCCGTCTTATACAGGCATCCATTGACCCTTCCTTTTATTTAATTTTAAACTTTAGTTCATTTAACAGTGTTGTGTTTGTTTATTTATTTAGATTAAATCCAAAATAAAGGATGGTTGTGTACAGTTAAAAGAATAATATAAAAGTTTAATTCTTATCCAGGTAAACAAAATTAAAATTGTAAAACAATGAAAACGAAGATTTAATGTTAATGTAAAATTTTTTTTTATTGTTTTGGTTTGAGGTATTTTTCGAATAAAATAAGTACAGAACCTTATTTTATTTATGTTCAGTACATTTCTTAAAACTAAACTTGAGAGCATGTCTAGTTATAGGAAGTATTAGTGCATACCTAGAAAGTGTTCGGATATTTATACACACAAACATCATTTGAAATTTATTTTAACTACCTTCAGGCGGACCATGCCGGTTTAAATTAATACGAATTTATAATTCACAATGATTGCTAAAAAGTTGTAAGAAATAAATTTTTAGGAGGATATCGGAGGTTTTTTTAAATCTTTGTAAAAATTTTATTTAATAACATCTATTTTTGTTAACAACAAAGGAAAAAGATCCCAAGTAAAACCAGTTTTATACATTATTATATATTCTAATTAAGCAGAATGATAGTAAAAAGTTTAATTCTTATCTAATAAAGTTTCAAGAAAAAGTATGAAACACCAGCTCAATCCAAGCAAATTTATAAAACTTACAAATCGCGCTAAATTCCATAAAATGACTAGGTTTTCATTCAATTGAACTATTAAACAAAAACAGTGAAAATGTGTATTCTGCCAATTGATAATATTCTCAACAATTCCAGAAGGCATCAATAAAACAGTTTATCTTTTAGTTATAAAAAAAAATTATTATTTTTTTGATGTCGCGAGTGTTTTCCCTTACTAGTCACATTGTGCAACGTCAAGCAGAATGAATTATATTTTAGGAATACTATTTTCCCCTTAATTAATGACATTTGTTCGAACACCTTACAAATTACCTGAAGTGCTGTTATAAAACTGGTGAATTTTATTGTGGAGGGGACGGTATGAGAGAGAGGGCTGCCGAATTAGACTTGTCCTCTCTCCCTCCTCCCCCCCTGGAAAAAATCCTAGTTCCGACCCCGTAAACATTATTCATATTTTATATAGAATATCCATTTGTACCATATTTGATATAAGTTGGCAACGACATCCTTTAATTTGGTTGTTTTCTTTCAGAGGAGACATTGAAAAAGCCAACTACCACTTCGGGCAGACAGCTCTTCACCTGGCTGCCACTCGAGGTCATCTTAATTGTGTATCTTTCTTGGTCGGCTTCGAAGCCAATCTCTTCGCGCTTGACCATGACTTCCATACACCGCTCCAGGTTGCTACTAACCCAGAAGTCATCGATTTCTTGGACAAGTCGGCTACCAGCCAAATGCTTGCTAATAAGTAAGTGTTTTACTATTGCGTACATTATTATCTTGAGTGTTTTGTTTTCATTTTACAGATTTCATCTTTCATTGAAAAATATATACTTATAAAATTTAAATTTTTTCCTATGTCTGTAATACTAAATAAACCAATGAATATATGAATTATTTCTTTATGGCTTAAAAATAAGAGTAACCTATAAAGCTAAAAAAAATGTTATCATTATTATTAGTTATGCTAATAAGAATAAATAATTAAGCTAATAATGAGAACCAAAATTTCAAGTTTTTTATAATCAGTTTCAATTTACTTTGTGTTATCATTTTAAAATATATTAACTACTTTAGTTTCTTGCACAAGCGGATCTTATGGGGGGGGGAGGAGGGAGTAAAATATATCTTTTTATTATGAAAAAAATATTTAAAAGGGGCTAATGCGTGTGCACAGCACCGCCGTTGCCCGGCAACTAGATAAACAGATACTAAGATAATAAAATAAATTTAGTTCGCTTCCCCGGCCCAGGAAGACCTCTGTATAGTCTAAAAGGCGAGAAGGCGTTGGTAAAATAAACGTTTAATAGGACTTCAAGAATCACTTAAACACCATTTCATATAGGTAGTTAGGATCTTTCTTCTTCTTCCAAAGTAATAATCGTTGTATATATATATATTATGTATATTCTTTGGGCTGAAGCCATTTTGGGGAATGTTTTTTTTTTTTTAGTTTTCCTTTCAGAGATCTGTTCTGATCATCCCATACTCTTCAAGCTAAGTAAGTGTTTTACAAATATGAGAGATTTTTAGAAATAGAATATGATGGATGACACTGACACAACAACCTTTTTTTTACTTATTGTAAGACCCTAGTACGTTAAATAAAATTTGCAAAAAATAAAAATAAATCACAGGCTACCTTCTTTACTTTAGTTTAACTGAGTAGCTTTAATTTTGGGGGCTAATCTTTTATTTTTTTATTTTTAATAACTTTAATTACAGGATCAATAATTCTTTTAGGGATGAATTGTTTATATTTTTACTTGACATGTGTTTACATTTTGTAGCTGAAGTACCATTTAAGTAGAGAACATATTGTGGTTGAATAATTATTTGGGATAAATCACTCATAGAAACATACCACTGAAAAAAAATATATTATTTTCCTTCTTTTGGGTGAGTTTCTGATCACTGATGGGAGAGAGCTTCAGTCCAAAGCTTCATCCTACCATGAATACACCAGTCCTTAGCTGGTAATTATTATTTACACTACAAAAGTGAACTTATCAGTAATAAAGAGAACAAGAAAGTCAATTATCTACTGAATGAAGAAAACTGTTAAATTGGGCTTACAAAGAAACATTTTACTTTAATTTTGTACACTAGCGGATCCAAGATTTAATTTTTGGGGGCTTCAGCCCGAAAGCTTTTTTTTCACATATATATATATATATATATATATATATAAACGATTTTGGCAAAATAGTACTTGTTTTTACAGATCTTGAAGCCAAAAAGAACAACAAAAAAAAAAAAAAAAAACGATAATTACTAAAAAACAGAAAGATACTAACTACCTCTATGAAATTGTTTTTATGTGATTCTTGGGTTCCTATTAAATGTAATTACACGAACAATAATACTTTAAGAGATAATTTTTAAATATTTTTTTTCCATTTTACCATTTTGGGGGAGAGGCTTCAGTCCGAAAGCTTCCCCTTTGTTGCATTCTTATGTTACTATACTTAATTATTTTTGTACACTGACATTTTTTAAAGCATCTAATGATAAATTTTACAGGAAAGAGGTGAAAAGTAAAAAGGAAAAGGCTTTGAAGGATGCAGAAAGGAGAAGAAAAAAATATGAAGAAAAGATGAAAAAAGAAAGAGATAAAGAAGAGAAAAGGATAAAAAAAGTTGAGAAAGAAATTGGAACCAAAATTGATACAGATATTCCAATTTCAACATTACCACTTAAGTAAGTTATGACTAAGACTAATAAAAAATCCCACATTTATTTATAATTATAATTTCTTATTAATCTAATAATAGATTATAAAAATATTTTGGGTGATAAATATTCAGGACACAGTCATTATGAAGTTTTTATTAGTGCCGAAGTTTCAACCCAAACATGTGGGTCATCATCAGAGAGTGCTTCGAGGTATTCAAGCACTTCAGTGCTCGAAACACGTCCTGATGATCTTGAATATTTATCACCCATGATATGTAGAACAGACAACTTACTTTCTTATAAAATTTATAAAAATATTTGTTTAATATTCAACATTATTTATTGTAATAATTATCCTAACATATATTCTATTTTGACCTTTCTATGCTTGTTATAGTTATAAATATACATGAAATTGTGGTCTTAATTCCATGTCTTAAAAAAAAAAAAAATTATATATATATATAATATTATCGTTATTAAAATATTCTGTCATTATCTAGATTAGGCTTATAAATTTAATTAATATTCTTTAATTCACCTTTAAATATGTTACATTATATAAACAGTATTTAGTTTTTCTTGTATTTTAAGAAACCATAAAATTTACTGATAAATTAAATAGAACTCTTTTTACAATTTTGTTATAATTATCTTTTTCAAAAAAATTACATTGTAAAATACTTGTGTTTCAGTACTATGAAGAAGACAATTGTTGAAGTAAAGGGTCCTTCTTTTACTGAAATAGTGGGTGGTACTATGTCCAAGAAACCTGCATCTGGGGTTAAAAAAATTTTAGAGAAAAAACTCAGGAGTCCAGATGAAAAAGTAATAGTATTACATAAGTTATTTAATTAAATTTGATATTTAAGTGTATTTTCTATTTTCCGCTACATCCTAATAATAGCAAATATTTAACAAACCACAGTCCAGGGTGTTTGCCTCAAAACTTTTTCGTGTAGGTCTTCCGCATTTTAAGGTTTTCAGTGATAGGTTGGTGGCAGCAGTAGTTGAATACACATTGTAAATTTCCAATTAGTCCTTTTCAGTTCAAATCAAGAACATGATTAGCATTAAGTACACCCCTCCTGTCAAGTCCTGCTTGTTCGATAGGGACAAACAAACTCCCAACGGATCCTTTTTATTTTAGGGCAGGGCCTCACCATTGTTTGGTCAACTCTTTCTACTTTCCGATACACACATCCATTCTCGGAATTCCATATGTAGTGTGATCATGAGATCATGTGCCCACTCATCAAAGTGCAGAAACACTTGTACAGGAGGAACAGTTTTCTTTTTGTTCTAATTTGTTAGAGTTCCTTCTTATTGAAAAGAGCTTAAAGAAAACAAATATGTCTCATATAATTAAGAATATCTAGTGTTTGAACATTAAGTCCAGCTGGTTTCTCAGTGGATGAACATGCGTTTGAACTGGATTCTCCAGTAATTGATTATTGGCGAATCCAATAGTTATCTGTTTTTCTGTAACAAACATCAGATTTTAATCAAGAAAAGTTATAGTTTATATTTGTTTTTTTGACATCATGAAAAATACCTAGGCTCCAGCAGAGAAACAGCAATGAAAATACAAAACTTTGTGGTTCAATTACTGGTATAACCTCCTGTTTGTTAGTGTTCCGGTGTACATTAAAATTTTTCATTATTAACACAATGGCTTTGTAATTTGTGTGAGAAGTAAAAATCATGTTTAGCAAATAATAAAATTTTTGTTTATTCACAAACTGTTGTATATTAATTTTGATTTCGAAAAAAAACTTTTAAATTTAAATACATTGAATATTCCATCTTATAAAAATAATTTACACTATACATAAAATGTAGTATAGATTCCTTTTCTGATTCTTTTCTGTTATTTGTACTCATGTTTTGGTATATTAATTTTAATTAAAAGTGATTTTTCCCTGAAATAAAAGCATTTCATCTAATTATTTCCATATTATATTGCCATTTCTTTACTGATCAACTTATTTTGCGAATTATTGGAACAGACCGACTTGATTAATTTTAAAAAAAATTACTTTAATAACCCTATCTATCGTAAGGACAGAATATACTTGCATTATCTACTTAAACATATTAATGAGTTATTAGTGAAGATAATGTTTATGAATTTTGAAACTCGAACTAGAAGTCCTTCTCTACCCAAACAAAATTGAAGAATACATTGATTCATATATCAATACATTAATTTTATTTCTTTATGTTGATAAGTACAGACGTATGAGACGAAACTTCCAGGAAACCTCGATGTGTAGTGCAAGACCTTTGACTATTACTCCTAGTTTCAATATTTATAAATGTTATATATTTTATTTAATTAATATTTTATGATTCATTCATGTGTACCCTTCCATTTTCTTATGAAGATTCTATCATATTTCCTAAATTTTCAAGTATAACTATAAGCCATAAGCAATAAAAAGAGGAAAACCCTAATATATAAACATCTATAGATTTTTTTTTTTTTTCATATATATTGGGTTGTCCGGAAAATAATGCAGGGTTTTGAGTTTTCTTTAATATATCCCTGGGTCATTCTATGGCAAATCATCCAGGGCCCATAATCTACTCCCCTCAGATCTTGATGAAAATTTGTAAATATTAAGTAAATATACATGTAAATGAAAATACTAAATTTTAGCCAATTCTAACAATTATTTTCAGAATTATGGGCTTTTAAATTTTTGAATATTGAAGTTGGGAAGACATTTTGCGCTCAAAACCAGCATATACCACCTGTTTGGTTTTCATTTTTAAAACCAATATTCATTGACCAAGAGCATTCAAAATTTATTTATTTGTCATAAATTTAATATAGAATCTGCTTATATCATAAGTTTTAGTGGATCCAGGATTTAATTTTGGAGGGGCTTCAGCCCGAAAGATTTTTTTTTCATAAACCATAAAAATAATTTGAAAAAAAAAAGAAATAAATTAACTAGCTATATGAAATGGTGTTTAAGTTATTCCCAAAGCCCTTTTAAATGTAGTTACATGAATAATAATACTTTAAGAAATACTTTTTAAATATTTTTTTCGATAAACCATGGTTATATTTTACCATTTGGGGGGGGGCTTCAGCCCGAAAGCCCCCCTCCTCCCCGTAGATCCGCCCGCGAGTTTTAGCATTATAATTTTTCCTATATAAAAAAAAACTTAAACATAAATTTTCAAAATAGTGATAAAAATATATAAAACTACTTCTAGCTAAAATCTCTCTCCCATTACTACAATACCCCACTGCTAAAATACCCCAGTACTACCATTTATTAGTGAAAAAAGCATAAAATTCTCTACCAAGTGCAAAAATAATATCAGCAGAATTTTGAGTTTGAAGAGTTTTATTACACTTTAAACACAATACAGTAAATTTTAATTTACCAGTTACAAATACAAGTGAAATTTGCTTAAATCTTTCTCCAAATATCCTAGTATAATCACATATCACTTAAAAGAGCATGAAATTTTCTATCAGATCATGAAATAATATTTATGGAATTTTGAATTATGAGAGATTTATTATAATCTAAATCAAATAAGTTCTTGTGTTATGCGGAAATGGTGTGCTAATCGACATCGAAAAATACCTGTAGCGAAACTCTTTCCACGCATACCCCAATACAACCATATATTAGTGAAAACGGGATAGAATTCTCTATCAAATAAAAAAAAGATATTAGTGAGATTTTGAGTTGGAGAGTTATGCTACAATTTAAACCTAATACATTACAATCTAATTTTTCAGTTATATGATTATAGCAAGTTTTACTAATAAATTGCTATAATCTCTCTCCGAAAACAACCATCTATTACTTCAAACAACATGCAATACTCTTCCAAATGATAAAATAACATTGGAGTGGCCTATTGAGTTTAATGAGATTTATTATAATATTAATAAAATAAAAAAAATGTGCTATATTTCTTTGCCGAAAAAAAAAAGATCCTTTTCTGTCCAGAATTGTTATATGTAATGAAAACTGGATACTTTACGATAACAATACACGTTCCGGGCAATGGCTCGACAAAGGAGAAGCAGCAGAACGTTTTCCAAATCCCCCAACTCATCAAAATGAATTTTTTTGGTTTGATACACTACAGCTTCTTAAATTCTGCAATAACCATCAATGCTGAATCATATTGTAACCAAATTAATGCAATGCATCAGAAATTGGCAATAATGGAGCCATATTTGGTCAATCGGAAGGATCCCATTTTGTTGCATAACACCCGGCCACATGTCTCATGTGCGACGTCTCAAAAACTGTTGGTGCTTGGATATGAAACTCTGCCACATCCGCCATACTCGGCGGACCTCTTGCCTGCAGATTATCATTTTTTTAGACAAAAAATTTAATGGATAAAGGGAATTGGATAATGTGTTTATGGACTTTATCTATTCTAAAGATGGGCAATTCGATTAGGAGCAAATGGAAAAGTTTCCTACACGTTGGCAGACACATTAAATAAAACAGTTGTAAATCTTTCTTTTTTTCTTTTTAAACCAACATGCTACATTATTTTTCAGACAACCCAATAGTATAATATTGTTCTTTTTGCAATCATTATGCTGATTATGTTAATTGTCACTCATAATTCTTAAACATAATATAAACTTCCGAGACATTTTTTGAGGATTCATCACCCCTCTCCTCTCTCTCCCTCCAGAATGAAAAGTTATTGCCTATTTTGATATGAGTAAAGTAAGCTATAAAGATACCATTTAATATAAATTACCCATTTTCTTGTAGCATGAAAACAACATGAAATCAACAATTGGACATAGAAAAGATGCTCAGATTATTTATGTTAATAGCTTTGAAAACAGCAATATTGGTATGTTCTGATTATATCATCTACTATTGCATTTGTATTTTTAATATTATCTAATCTACTTTTTTTATATATACAACTTTTAATATAGGTAAAAGAGGAAAGATTTCTGATGTCTTTCACAACCATATTCAATCTCAAGTGCAGTCAAGTATATTTGACAGACCTGGATTTGGTAGTGTTGCTTTCAGACAGCGGTAAGACTTTGATTTTATTAAATGTATTTATCAATATCAATATATTTTAAAAATTCATATTTTTGTTTACCCTAACTATCCCTAAAAAAAAAAAAAAAAAAAAAACCTGTACCACTACAACCCATGAAGGGTCTGGGATTCAGCACTATTTAGGGAAAGCACCGTTTCTAGGTCAACGGTGGTGCAAGGAGGTGATGTGACCACGCCGAGATCACGCTCAACCGCCAGGTTTTCTCCCTTAATTAGTTATTTAATTAAGGGTACCCACTTTATAGAGGCTGGGTGTGCCCCAGGAGGGTCTCCCGATCCAGGGTCGCCCTACAGCCAATGGAAACAGATAAATAAAATTTTCTGCCATGAGCCGGGGTTCGAACCTAGGTCCTTTTGCATTGGAAGCTCAGTGCCCTACCATTGAGCTACCCCACTCCATAACTATCCCTACAACTTGAAAAATAATCGTCATCCATTCTGCATTTGTGGGAAATAGATCAACTGTTAATAAAAATGGGTTACATTTTTTACATTTACTTGCCTATATATAAAATATATAGTAAGGGAAAGTATTGGGATCATGAAAATTTTTGAATATGAGTTTTAATCATTTTGAGGTACCCTGAGTCCAAATATCCAAGTCTCGTGAAATGGTCTGTGCGTGTGTTGGTATGTGAACAGTCTAGCTCAAAAACGGAAAGTTGTATGAAACTGAAACTGCTTAATGAAGGTTTGCACATACCTGGAAGCATGTGCTTACAGCAACTTTTTCATCAAACTTGGCTAACCGGAAGTGAATCTTTATATCATTAATTTAACATTTTTTACAATGTTCTCAAAAAAGGCACAAACAGTTTTAATTAAACTCATTAGGTCAATGTATCATTAAGTGGTTTTTAATTTAAGGTAGATTTTATCATCATTGATGCAGCATGACAGAGCTTAAATGGTGAATTTCCAATTTTCTTCCTCTAAAGTTCTATGATTTTGTTTATTTGAACATTTTACATTACAACAGTTAAATATAAACTATGAAAGAATTTGATAATTAAATAAGCAGAATTGGGGGATCGTAATGGAGGACTAAAGAAACTCGAGCGCGCACCCGAGCTTGGGCGAAAGGTTGGAATATTCTTCCAAACATAACACATGCTTAATATAATATGGGCTCTGATAATATTATATACTTATACATATGCAGTTTTCATAAAACTAACATTTATTCAGTATTTAATTGCATATATTATAGCAATATAAAATTTTTGTACACACAACAGTACCTAAATAAAAATGAGTGGGGTGGCCAAGCTGACTAAGGCATGTACAAAACATGCGTTGCCCAGAATCATGGTAAACTGAATATATAATGATAAAATAATTATATGTGTTTGTGTCCCAGTGCCGGGGGAGGAGGGGGCTTTTAACTCTTGCATTAATCATCTGCCCTCTCCCCTGGTCTGGGAAAAACCATATGTAGCCTATTAGACACTGAAGGCGTATACAAAAAAAAAGTACTTAAATAAAAATATCAACAATGAAATACAAACAAATGTAGATGCCGTCTTCATCAGTGGCACTCTTGTCAGACCAAAAATATTTCTTGACACTTTTTTTAATTATTAGTTGTCACATTTCCCAAACTTACTAGGGTGGCTGTTATATTTTTTTTATACTGAGTTGTCTGGAAAATAATGCAAGATTTTGAGTTTTATTTAAAATACCCCTCTATAAAACAAACTGTTTACGTTTACTGGATTATTCATTTGTATGAATGTCTACACTTACTAATCCTCTTCCAAACCATAATGTCTATTCACCTGTAGCATTTCACTGCTTAGAAATAATTTAGTCTTTACTAAGATGTTAATACATGATTTTTGTATAAATTAGTTCTACGAGTTTATACTTGGCCAGGATGGGACGCAAACAGCCAGAAACATCAATCAAGTCTGGAGCGAGAGCAGCATTAATGAGTGCACTATTTAATACACACAAACAATGGTGCAACAACTCGTCACCGAGTCTGCCTCAAGTAGCCTCCGTCAGTTGGCCCTATCCTGCGCAGCAATCCTCCAGTCTAGAAGAGTCCTTGCATCATCAGTCACACCATCCATCCTCCTCACGTTCGGTCGTCTCACTCTCCTCATCCTTAAGATCTCTTCTGTGACCACTTTCTTTGGAATCTCACCAATGTCCATTCTGGCTAGATGGCCAGTTCATCGAAGTCTTTCTAGTTTTATGATTTTCGATATCTCGATATCTTCAAAGAGCCCGTACAATTCTTGGTTTTTTCGTCTTCTCCATGTCTCGCCTACGCCTACGCCTATTTTGATATATCCTCCTCAATATCCCCCTTTCGAACACCAACAGCCGTTTTTTATCCGCCTTCTTAATGACCCATGCCTCCGATCCATAAATTAGTACTGGACAGACTATAATTTTGTACAGGCTGATTTTTATCTTCCTTGAAAGATACCAGCTCCTGAAGTTTTTGGATAAGCTGTAGTAGCACCTTTTAGCGGTTATTATCCTACGCTTGATTTCTTGGGAAATATCATTTTGAGAGTTTATCTCGCTTCCCAAGTAGACGAAGTTATTGACCACCTAGAATCTCTACTGTCCTACCTCAAAGTACTCCTCATGGTTTCCTAGCCCTCCAACCTGCATATATTTTGTTTTTTGCTGGTTTACTCTTAATCTAGCTTTTTTTGCAGCTTCCTCGAGGGCGAGAAATGCTTCCCTTAGGGCACGTTTGGATCTGGCCATTATGTCAAAGTCGTGCATTGTTTAACAGTGGTTCAAAACATTTTGGGATGGAGATTCAGGCCTCGAAGACATTCTAGATAGTGGCTCCACAAAGGAGAAGCAGCAGAACATTTTCCAAAGCCTCCAACTCATCAAAAAAAGGTGATGGTTACTGTTTGGTGGGCTTCATTTGGTTTGATACTCTAGCACTTCTTAAATCCTGTAGAAACTATCAATGTTGAATCGTGTTGTAAGCAAATTAATGTAATGCATCAGAAATTAGCAACAATGAAGCCATCTTTGGACAATCGGAAGAGGCCCATTTTGTTGCATGACACCGTCCGGCTACATGTCTCATGTATTATGTCACAAAAACTGTTGGAGCTTGGATATGAAACTCTGCCACATCCACCCTACTCTCCGGACCTCTCACCTACAGATTATCATTTTTTTAGACATCTAGACTACTACTTATATGACAAACAATTTAATGGACAAAGGGAATTAAAAAATGAGTTTTTGGAGTTTATCAATTCTAAACATATGAAATTCTATTCCAAGGGAATGGAAAAGTTGCCAATATGTTGGAAGAAATGTATTGACAGTAGTGGAGACTATTTTGATTAAATAAAACAGTTGTAAATCTTTCTTTTTAAATCAAAATCCTGCATTATTTTCCGGACAACCCAATACTTTGTTTTCTAGACTATTACATGTTTTACTAGCTTATTTTTGGACAGCTAAGAGTTTTATCACTAAAAAAAAAGTGGCAGGTAATGATTCCTGTTTTACTTCCTAGTTGTTATTTGAAGGAGCGCATTAAACTCCTAGCCTGTTTTGAAAAATATACTAATTGATAATTCATTTATCAAAGATCTAACGTGAAATATGAATTATTTTCCTGGTGTTATTTTTTTTTTTTTTTAAAGTAAATTGATGAAATATTCTCCAAAATACTAGACAATGTATGAATCATACCAGATTCTTATTAAATTAATGAACTCCATTCATAATTTCTTTTATTTTAATTATTTAGTCCCATGGGAGTGTTTCATGATTTTAAAATCCTTGAATTTATAATCACTGACAATTATTTTTTTATATAGAACAAATTTAGCTGGTACCTTGTCTGGAGTTCCAGATGTTATAGTCGAAAAAGAAGGTGATGAAGAAGTGAGCAGTGAAACGAGCATAGGCAGTGCTGGTAGCCTAGCTAATAGGAGTAGGCACCAACCAGTGTGGCAAGATGATATTACTACAAGTGATGGTGAGGCATATTTTTAATGCTAAAATTAAATAAAGGTTAATAATTTCTAATTTTTATTTACTCATCACTTTTCTTCAGGTCATCCTCTGACATATCAGTGTAAACATTTGTTACTAATTTTCCTATTTCCTAAGTTTTCTCCCTTCTTCTTGATTCAACTAAAGATTTCTGGAGTTGTTTTTTTTATTTTTATGGTCTAGATTTTCACAGGACTGGTGCAATGAAAGATACCACCCTTAAGGTTAGGGAAATATGTTTTTTTGTAATGTAATTTTAATACTTTCTTTTGTTTTTTTATAATTGATGGCTTACCTCAAATATGAGTTACTAAAAAAAATTAAATATTAATCTGTATGGTAGATTCAGAATGTTATACTGTAGCATAATCCTTTAATCACTGCCAATAATCATTTCTGAATATACCAATAGCTTGTACTTTTAGTAATTATTATTCACATTTTTCTTATACCATATTTTTACCATTTATTTCAGACTAATGCCAGTGCATTTAATCTATTAAATGTTTTTTAAGCCTTTGTATCATTTATTGGGTGGATCCATAAGTTCGTTTGGTTTTTGTTAGTAGTACGAATTGTTTTCAAATATCTCCAGTTCTCATTGCCTTATCTAGCAATAATGATACTTATCAGAAATATCAAATTCTGTTCTTTGAAACTGTTATGTTTGGTTTCATTGGCATTAGTTTTGTTTTTGCTACAGCATAGAGAATATGCCAAATGATAAAATGCATTCGGAGCTTCGGGGAACCACCTGAAAGATATGTAAGGTATATGGGGACGATGCTTTAACAGAACATACAGCTCAAGAGTGGTTTGCCAAGTTTCATTCCGGAGATACGAGTCTCAAAGATGCACCCTCCAGCGGTCGGCCCAACAAGGTTGATTCGAGTGATATGAAGGTTTTAATTGAACAAGATCGGTCTCTATAAGTATGAGAAATTGTAGACACAAAGAATTGGTTTCGTTTAAAGGCATTTAAAATATTGAAACTGGAATATTGGAACTGTTAAAGGTATTTATTTCTAAAAAAATAGTGACGAGTGAAGAAAAGTGGATCATGTACGGCAACGTAATGTACAGGAGATCATGGACAAGTGCTGATGAGCCACCTAATGCCACCCCGAAAGCCAGCCTACATCAGAAAAAGATTTTTCTCTCCATATGGTAGGATTATCGTGGCATGCTGATTTACGGGTTGCTTTCTCAAGAAAAAACGATTGATTCGAAGATTTACTGCAAGCACCTAATGAAATTGGACCAAGCATTGCGGCAGAAACACTCAGAACTAGCTAATTGCAAAGGTATTGTATTCCACCATGCAATGCCAGATCACTCTCCACAATAATCACACAGCAAAAAGTTTGTGCAACTTGGCTGGGATCTTTTATTACACCCACCGTATTCTCTGAACCTTGCACCATCTGATTACCACTTATTCCGGTCCCTCGAAAATTCTCTGAACAGAAAATCGTTTGCTGATGAGGCATGTGAAAACATATCTCCAGCTTAGCTTCTAAACCCCAGATGTTTTACGAGAGCGAAATAATGAAATTGTTAGAAAGATGGCAAGAGGTCATTAATAAAAACGGTGAATACATTATTGAATAAAATTTATTCTTTGTATGACAAAAACTTGTTTTATTTTATCGTTCAAAAACTGAACGAACTTATGAATCCACCAAACATTAAATGTGTTCTTTAATACTTTAGCTATCCAAAAAACCTTTAAAAAGTGGGGGAAGTGAGAGAAAACGTTGAGAACCCCAAAAAGCATTTTTTTTTTACACCTACTCAATTCAAATACAAATTTTCAACCCTCTAACACAATTTGGACTTTAGAGGTGCAAAAAGCCTTAAATAGTAGGAAGAACTGCACATAATAGAGTGGAGTTGGTAGCAAAAAAAGTTGAAACATCCAAAAGACACTTTACAAACACAAACTTAATTTATATACAAAATTTCAACACTCTAACATTATTTTGAGTGGCTGTACAAATGCACAAAACTTGAAAAACCATTTGGGCTTGCCAAAATTTTTATGAAATTTATCCAAATATTTATGGTATTGTTTTGCCTAGAACATAACCTTACATTCAAATTTTCATTTCATTTAATCCATGGATGCCTCTGGAAGTACCGAATCATTTATGAAACGTAAAATTTGATATTAAAATAGTTTTGAGTGTCTGAAGTTATGAAATAATAAAAGTTATTTGAGACAGGGTGGCCGAGCAGGATATAGCAGGTGTGCAAAACATGCATTTCCCAGCAATCTGATAAACAGAAATTACCATGATAAGATAACTATAATTTTGCATCCTGGTGCTAGGGGGGCTTTTAACTCTGGCATCAATCCCCCCATAGGGCCAAATAGCCTAAAAGACGAGTAAGAGGACACCAAAAAAAAAAATTAAAAATTTCTTTATTACAATATAAAAATGTTTAGCACATAATATATATATATATATATATATATATATATATATATATATATATATATATATATATATATACCTAGTTATGTATCATTCAGTTTTTATTTATTTATTTTTAATTGTAATATTTTAAGAAGAAAATGTTGTCTCCAATGGCCAATGGAGCCCTTTGGAAAGGTTTCTGGTTTCGGCTGGCGTTGAAGAGTATACTCCAAGACTTCTTGCCCAAAAAATTGATTTAGATGCTGTATTAATGTTGACAGACTTGGATCTCATGCAACTTGGTGAGTAACACTACGAGTTGTTTTTGAAAGAACCTTTATTAATAATATGGGAACAAAATTATATTTTCTTGAAAAAGTAATGCATAAAGATGTATGTATAATGCTTTGCTATCACTTAGAAACAGTGAATTTCACTTCCCCAAGAACTAAATCTAAAGGATATGAAGGGATAGTAGTGTATTCTGAATATTCACTACTGTCTCTACACATCCTTTAGATTCAGTATTTGGTGAAGTGAAATATTATATATATCTTGATGAGTATAATATTAATTCCATTTGTTGCTGAACAGAAATTTCCTATTTCTATGTGATAACAGAACTCACCTTATACAGGATGAAGGATCATTCACAGTTGAAGAACTTTTAGTTACTATTGAGAAAAAAGTACATAATTCAAAATTACAATATATCATACATAATTGGAGTTTTATTCAGTTTCCCATTTCGGACTAAACAAATCATTTTAAATAAACAATAATAATACATTGTATTAGATAGTTTTGTTAAATTTTCATTTTTAGTTATAAAAGATTTCTTTTTATTATAAATTTATTTTATATAAAACATTTTCATGGAAGTTTATATAAAACTTATAATGTAATGTAAAATATTATTAATTAATATTAATAGTATAATATTATATTTAATTAATATTAATTATATAGATATTATTATATTTAATTAATATTAATTATATATTATTATATTTAATTAATATTAATTATATATTATATTTAATTAATATTAATTATATATTATATTTGATTAATATTAATTATATATATTATTAACTTAAATAAACTATTTTAATTATAGTAAAGAATTATGAAATTTTAAGATAGATAAAAAGTCCCCAAGTGAATAAAAATCCCAAAAATGAAGAAGGGAGGATTGTTAGAGAAATTAAGACTAGCCAAACTCTGAGTTTCAGTGCCGACACTACCAACAATCATTGCCCTTTTAGCTATGTCAAAATCTAAACCCCTCTGATCAGATGTATTGCAATCTTTCCATTTAAGTCTTGTCAACATCTCAGAAATTCATCTTTCGGTTCAACAGGTTACCTTTGAAGTGATTCATTGATAACTAAGATCATCCTAAAAATACATTCGGGATCCTATTTTACATAGCTATATAGTAGTTACCTACCAACTTAATATTGAATTTTGTTAATTTTCTTAATATATCTATTTTATTTATTAAAATTAATTATAGAATGATGATTGCAGGTTTCCCCATGGGTCCAAGAAGAAAGCTGTTGCATGCTGTTGAACAAAGAAAAAGAGCTCTGCTGAATCCTGGACAATTACTTGATAGTAAATTGTGATTGATAAAAATAAAATAATATGATCAATGTTAGTGCATTAAGCAGATCTCTTTTAGCTCAACTAAAAAGAAAAGATTGTAAACTGTTTCACAAACAACAATTTAATATATAAATAGTTTTTATTTTTAGTTTAATTATTTGTATATCAATTGTTTTTATAGTGTCAATTGTAGATGTCAGATCAGACCATTATAATTTTTTAGTTAACTTCATTGTTCAGTTGATAACCAAAGATATTTATTGTATTGACTATTGATGTTTAATGTTTTGTTGTTTTCAGTGTTAAGTTAATATCTACCTTTGATGTCTAAATATTTAAAAAACAAAATAATTATTTAAGTTAAACTTGTAACGATTCCTGTTTATCAATTAGATGTTAGTAAACAAATATTTTCCAAATTTTATGTATTAAATCTTTTTTTCTCTAATTTCCCGATATCCATCCACACAGTTAATATATTCTATTCTCACAGCTTTAATATCGCAATGTATTTCAGTTTGAAAATATTGGATATACATTTTTTAAATCCGTTGAATTATGTTAAAAATTACTGTCACAATTTCTCGTTTCTTATGAAAACTAATATTAAAATATGTCTAAGCTTTTTTTATTTTAATACTTTATGATGCAATCAAAACACGTATTTATTATTTCATTTATATTACTAATGATAGCTCTTATTAAAAGTTTCCATCGGACTTCCTTTAAACAAAATTTCCTTTGTATGAAAGTATGTATTGCACCTATCTGACTGTACATTCTTGGGTAATATTAAATAGAAAACATGACAATCTCTTTTGATAGTGAATGACCGAGTGGGCTTAACCTGTTTGCACAGTACCGCCTGGCAACCTGATAACTGAATTTATAAACGAGAAAATAATTACCTATTTTTTCGATTACAATTATTTATTTGTTTGTTTTCCACCCTCCCATGCCACCAGAGCAACACGGGTGTATGCAGTAGTGTTATGTTAAGCATTAATGAATAATAACACACTACTGCCATAATATCGGTTTTCAAAATTCTAAGCTGTGCACACAGCTAGCTCTTCTACTTTTCCTCATTCTTCAGCAAATTAGGCCTGGCTTCCCGAATCCGGAGGTCTTCCTGGGACTGGTCCTCTTCTCCTTCTGCGTGCACCTAGGTTGAAGTGAGCTGGGCCCACCGCCGTCTTCCAGCCATTTATAAACTCTTTGAACCGTGGGAAGTTTACAATACACATACAACCTTTGCTAGCCTTAGACATTCGACGATACGAACAATGCTATTATCATCGGTGCCCTGGTTGGCCGGCCCTAAGGATCACACTATATACAGCTACTTAAAAAGTTAAAATTATCTCAAAAATTATTATTGTTTGTGTAATTAAATATTTAATAGGACTTCAAGATTCACTTTAATATCATTTCACATAGGTAGTTAGTTTCTTTCTTTTTCTTCCCAAGTGTATATAGTTATATATATAAAAATAGCTGCTGGGCTGAAGGACCTCCAAAATTTAGTCCTGAATCAGCTACTAAATCTAAGCCATGATGACCAAGTTTTAAGACGTCGTCTTAAAGTTTTAAGACGTCGCACCACACTTCCAAAAAAATGAACATATTGTTTCCAATGGGAATGGCCGCTATGATGTACCGACCCTAGACCCTTACCATTACACCAAGCAGAGAATTACCTTTTCTATTCTTTTAGCCTCGACCCTCACGCATCCAGGCTTCGGAACCCGCCGGATTCATAGAAATATTTTTATATTATCTCATTTTCAACTTATAATAATATTATTTTATATTAATATTGTTAAAATTTTATATTAGTGTTAAAATACTTTCAATATAAAGTTCTTAATTTTTGTACATTTTCATTTTATTTTTATTTTGTATATAAAATTTCTTTGTTGATTAAATATCTGGTATAATATTCTCCAAATACGAAATCTCCACCAATTATGTAAAATAAAGGATGCTTTATTTGCATGAAAACTGTATGAAACACATAATAAACTATGGATGTTAGGAGAAGTGCAAGTGTCAATGCGCCAACGTGGACAGACATAGGGTGAAGCTTGAGGATTAAACTCAGTGCATGGGATGGTGAGAGGATCGGTACGCAGTTGTGGAGGAAGCCTTAAAAGTAGTAATGGGCAAAATCATTCTTTTTAAGGAACTAGTCTCTTTAGTCCAGTTCACCTTATTGAACTAGTTCATTAGTTCACTCCAATTTCAGTGCTATCTAAAGTAACACATATGGTACTATGGTATGATGGTAGATCTAGTATCATCGTGTTACCGTAGATGGTGAAAGTTCTAGTTGACTAAGTGAATATAAGAGAACTATTACGGTTGCCATCTACTGTAATACAGATGGCACTAAATATGTGAGATCCTCTGCTTCAATTCTAATATATTTTCAGTAATAAAAATCGGTATATTTGACTTCTGACTGATTTTATGTAATAAAATCTACTAACATAAAATTTATAACTTATTAACTATTTTTGTGGGTATTTAAAATTTTAAAAACTAAAAGGAACTAAACATTTCTGTCATCATCCTATGAAATATTATTAAATTATCAAAAGTAGTCTGACCACGACTTATGTAATGAAAAAGACAATGACAACAACAATGCAAGTAATTAGTTGTTTCTTATAGAATAATATGAAGCTCAAACCATTCTAAATTAAATTGAAACTAGAGACTTTATTGAACTAGAAAGAAAGAGAGAGGTTTCAATCTTCTGAACTTGAGAACTAAATTAGTTACTTTAGGTCTTGGGATTCCTAAGTGAACTGTCAACTAGCTAGTTCAAATGAATCACAACTGGTGCCATCCATTGTGACACTAGATCACTGGTACTAAATCAGTGAGACCATCAGGAGAGGAGTGTCTTTGTGTAGACCCAGCTATTTTTGCAGCGATCTCTAGTGGCCTTCATCCTAACTATGTGCTCTCATTCTTACACAGTCATTTAAATTAGACTCAGCCCCTTGTCCTACCTTTAATGCTAAAATATGTTTCACAGCACAATTTATAAATTAATTATTTTTTTATCTAAAATAAGTAGTGAAAAACGTCCAAAAGTCAAAGTTGTTGACAGCTATCTCATTAGAAAAACTAAATGCTGTTTATATATAAAAACTAATATTTAATATGTAACTGCTGAAAAATTTGATAATATATCATTAATATAATATAGTATTAATAATATTATTAATATAATATATTATTATCATATATATATATATATATATATATATATATATATATATATATATATGTTTAAATATAGGATGAACTGGAGAGACCTATGAAGAGAGTAATAGTTGAAGAGAGAGTGTTTCTTCAAGGGATATACTCAATCTGATGTTTGGGTTCTTGTGTTTACGGAGTGGAAATGATGTTAGTTCTTTCTCAGGGAGGAAGGAAGTGAAGGGAAATAGGAGTGCCAAACAAATGATTCCGGTTGTAGGGCAGCAACTTCATAGCCTCTGGAGTGGTTTCTTAGGAAATATAAACGCAAAGCTGTGTACTGTAAATGTGCTCGTGTCAGTGTCTTGGATTTTTTTGGCGAGTGCATTGTGTACTGAGCTGAGGTAACCCGTAGGGGGTGCTGCTCCCCAATTGCCTGCATGCAACAGACGGCATTTATGTATAATGTACAAATATTAAAATTTATGTACAAGTTTTAAAACATTAAAATGCAACTTTTGTATTTTACTTTATTTTGTATTTTACAGAAACGGTTAGAATTTATTGATTCAAAGTATAATTTCATACAGAGTTTTAGTTATCAGCTTTATTTATTTAGCAGATGATGAAAATAGATTATAAGCATAAAATGAAATTAATGAGTCCCAAATACCCCTTCAATTGTTCTGTGACTATTAAGAGGTTTTGAGAATAATATTACTAACAGAACATACCTCCTATGAGTAGAGTTGGTAGCTGCAGACAAAATATCCTGAAATCTGCCTAATCTCTCACATTGAAATAATAAATTTATTACAAACTAAACGGAATTGTATTTGTCAATACTAAATTTTTAATGAACTGGTGAGAAATAAAAATATCACTTTAAATATATGACTAATAAATATAATCAATAATAAAAATTAAACTTCAATCAATAGCATACTTATTTTATGTATTAGAAATTAATTGACTTATTGTACAAATACTAACCAGATTTGACGAAAAAAATAAATAATATTAACTTTAAAAAAAATCTTAATGAAATTGTCTTAATTTTTAAAATGTTTATACTGTTATAAAGTGATAAATAAGCAATATAATTAATAGTGAGAGAATATAGCCCCTATATACATAAAAAAGTAAACAGCATGCTACATGCAAAAAATCTGCCCACAACGGAAATAAAAAAATTAACAATACTAAAAATAAAAATCTATAGTACTCACATGGCTGTTTTTTTTTTGTCATCTACAGTTCATTGACGTTCCTAAACCCCCTCTTGACGAGTACCAAACTAATCTAAATTCTGAATAATCTTAATAACAACAAATTAAATGAGTATTTAAAAATAGTGAAATATACTTTAAAATTATAAACAGTAATTTTATTAAGATTTTCTATGAAAAAGTAAATATACTTTTGTTGTATCTCATATTTAAGTAAATAAATAAAAAGAATAATAATACTAAGGTCAACAGATAATAGCATAATGATATAAAAGTATTAAGGTATAATAAATTTATTTTATTTAATATTCTGTAAGTCCCTCCTGGGGCACACCCAGCCTCTATAAAGTGGGTACCCTTAATTAAAATAATTAATTAAGGGGGAAAACCTGGCGGTGGGGCGTGATCTCGGTCAAATCACCTCCTCGCACAACCGTTGACCTAGAAACAGTGCTTTCCCTAATTAGTACTGAACCCCAGATCCTTCATGGGTTGTAGTGGTACAGGTTTTTTTTTTTTTTTTTAAATATTCTGTAAGACACTTTTTTTTTGTAATGAGAGGGGTTTGTGGCTGCAGCAGTCTGGAGATCCTGAAATTTGCCATCACCTCTCACATTGACATACTAAATTTAGTACTAAATAATTATAATTTAATAAGAAAATAATAATGTTTAATTCTTTACCTAATTGATGAAAAATCAATTAATTCAATCATTTTCTAAATATTGACCAAACACGACCATATAAACTAAATGAATTGATGATTTGATAAAATCTGAATGAATTTGATTTAAGATATGGTCATTTTTAAATATTATTATTTTAAAAGTTGATCTAATGAATAGCGAGAGGTAATAGCAACGAGGAACATGTAAATACAAACAACATTACACACCTACGACACAACATGCACCAAGAGCTTAGCCAGGGAAAGGCTGACCCTCTCTCCAATTGTGACATATAAAAAATAAATAGCAACAAATATAATCCCAAATTTCTGGAAAACTGACGGACAATGACTGGTAGATTTTGTATTTCAACATTTTAAAAGAATCTAATTACAAAAAAGGATACCATCGTCTTGAAATAAATTAAATTTAAAAACTTGCCCCCTCTTCCATTTTGAGGCAAATTTTTTTTTGCTGGCTAAGTTCTTGCCTACTATATACATGCATTAAACACTACCAATTACCAGGTTTGTAAAGATGAA